TGGGATTACAGGCATAAGCCAACAACTCCCAACTTTTTTTTTAACCTTTTTTTTTTCCTACAGCTTGTTAGACTGACGTGCTCTTTTTTTTTCTTTTTTTTTTTTTTTTTTAAAAAAAAAGACAGGGTCTCACTCTGATGCCCAGGCTGGAGTGCAGAGCATAGCTCACTGTAGCCTCAATCTCCTGGGCTTAAGTGATCATCTCACCTTAGCCTCCTGAATAGCTGGGACTACAATCGCATGCCACTGTCCCCTGCTAATTTATTTCTCACTTTGTAGAGATAGGGTCTCACTGTTTTTGGCCAGACGGGTCTCAAACTCCAAGGCTCAAGTGATCCTCCCACCTCAGCCTCTCAAAGTGCTGGGACTACAGGCATGAGTCACACGCCCAGCCTACCTCTGTCTTTACATGGCTTTCCTCCCTGTGTCTATTCCCAAGGTTCACTCTTCTTATAAAGATACCAGTCGCTGAATTTAGGGCCCACCCTAATCCAGTATGACTTTTACCTCGATTACATCTGAAAGACCCTATTTCCAAACTTGGTCACATTCGTAAGTTCCAGGTGGTCGTAAATTTTGAGGGAACACTATTCAACACAGCAGACCCCACGAGGTTGACTTAGGGGGAAACTCACCAAAAACAAAAGAAAAATGAGCATTTCTGATTCTTGGGGTTCAATGTGAACCCCAAAAGTTTGAGAACTTCTACTGAATTTGCCTTCTCATAATCTGACACAAGACATATGTTAAATAGTACTTGACGATTGTATTACACAGCTAGATTCTCTCAAACTTTTTTTTTTTTTTTTTTTGAGACGGAGTCTCTGTCACCCAGGCTGGAGTGCAGTGGTGCAATCTTGGCAGCAGCCTCTGCCTCCTGAGTTCAAATGACTCTCCTGCCTCAGCCTCCTAAGTAGCCAGGACTACAGGCACCTGCCACCATACCTGGCTAATTTTTGTTATTTTTTTTTCAGTAGAGATGGTGTTTCACCAAGTTTTCCAGGCTGGTCTTGAACTTCTGACCTTAAGTGATCTACCTGCCTTGGCCTCCCAAAGTGCTGGGATTACAGGCATGAGCCACCGCTTCCGGCCAAACATTTCATTTTTTTAAGAGACAGGGTCTCATTCCTGACCCAGGCTGGAGTGTAGTGGTGCAATCAGCACACTGCGGCCTAAAACTCCTGGGCTCAAGTGATCCTCCCACCTCGGCCTCCTGGGGTACACCTCTGTACCTGACTAAAAACATTTAATTTTTGGTTGCCTTAGGAATAAAACTCAACAGATGAAAACATTTCAAAGTCTTCTCTTTCTCATATGTTTAAAAAAAAAAAAGTAAAAATTACTTACCATTTCTCCCCCATTTGCTGTCATAAAAAGAGAGATAGCTAGTTGTTCAATTTATTAAGAATGCTAGCTGTGGCCGGGCATGGTGGCTTACACCTGTAATCTCAGCACTTTGGGAGGCCGAGGCAGGCGGACCACCTGAGGTCAGGAGTTCAAGACCAGCCTAGCTAACATGGTGAAACCCCGTTTCTACTAAAAATACAAAAAATTAGCCAGGTGTGGTGGCACACACCTATAATCCCAGCTACTCAGGAGGCTAAGACGGGATAATTGCTTGAACCCAGAAAGTGGAAGTTTCAGTGAGCAGAGATCACACCATTGCACTCCAGCCTGAGCAACAGAGCGAAACTCCATCTCAAAACAAGAAAAAAAAAACGGTTCAGAGGCAAAACAACACAACACACACACACACACAGCAAGTAGCTTAACAGCATAGTAATAACATTGAAGAATTCGCAATTTTTACAAGTTAATAAATGGCTTTGTGCGCATCTGGCTTGGGATTTTCTACTTGAAATTCAACACAGTGCACTTAGCCGACTTTTCCATCAGGCTGGTAGTCTGTGCCTTTTACACTGTTGATTTCAAGGTTTTCCTGTGACCTGCTAAAATATTATCCTTTGGGAGGAGCTGCATCATAAGAAGTGTATCCTCTTTTCTCTTTTAGCTGGATACACAGTATCATCGCTCATGTGCAGTTGAGTATCCTCATCACGCACGACCCGGTAAGGGATCTGCAGGTACAGGTGGGGTCATGGCCCTTATTTACTACTGTGTGGATGTGTTAAGACCCAGCTTTTGTCTTTTTCCTACACCTATTTCAGATTCTCTTGGATTTATTGTTTCCCCACATCTTTGTAAATCACCTAAAATTCATTTTGGACCATGGGGTATAATAAAAAGCTAGGAAAGTTCTATTGCGGAGAGCCAGAAAGTTTCAGGTTTTTTTCATACCATGCAAATTCTCACTACTTTGGTAAACTGCTTTTTTTTAAATCCAAAAAGTTTAACCCTAATTAGTCCTTGTTATAACATTCAAAATATTCTTTTAGAACATGGCATGGATTTTATTATGTAGGCAAAATCCGTATTCCTATGGATTAAACTGTTTGGATCAGTTAATCTGTTAGGCCAAGGTAAGAAATGAAATTCTAAACCATCACAGTATGCCAAGTCTGATGCTATCCCCATTAATTCTTTTTATCTTCAAATTATACTCTGTAGATGTACTAACAAAGAAGTGATGGGAGCAAATTGAGGGATGTCTTTTTTTTTTTTTTTTTTTTTTCTTTTCGCACTCAAAATGACTCGGTTCCAGCAAAGAGGGGTCTTTTTTCAGACGGTCTCACTCTGTTGACCAGGCCGGAATGCGGTGGCATGATCATGGCTCACTGGAGCCTCAACCACCTGAGCTCAAGGGATCCTCCCACCTAAGCCTCCCACATAGCTGGGACTACAAGTAGTGCCACCACACCCAGCTATTTTTTGTAGAGACAGGGTCCCGCTATGTTGCCCAGGCTGCGGGATATTTAATTCTGCCTTTGACACTCTTCTCACCACATCAGGGTCATTCGTACTATGCTAAAGGTACATTTAGAAGTAATGGACAGCTGAGATATTTCCTGTTAATAAGATTAATCCGCAACTATAGTAAAAACTAGTCTGCCTCAAACAATCTTTGTAGTCCAAGTGATTTCTCAGGCCAGTTCCCTGTAGCATTGTTTGGTAGTCTTTAAATGCTTTCGTCAGATTCGGCTTTCATATCTGCATTTGAGCTGTTTAATTTCTGCCACACTGTTAGTCAGGTATAACTAATGTAATATTAAAGTGAGTGAATCAGACATCTTAGTTCTTTTTAATTAGTGGGCTCTTCTGCAAAATTAGTTTACTGCTTTCATACCTTAAGAAAGTCCAATTCATAATTGGAGCAAGAAAGCCCTTAGCTATAAACTTGATTATTATCAAACCTGGACTGTCTACTAATGTTACTCTGTGATGTCATCTGACAGGTCCTCAGTTACATGGGTCTACAAAATCTCAAAGCAGAGGTGGACCAGTCTCTCGAACCAGGCAGGGACCTTAAGGCAAATGAGAAGAACCTATCAGGCTGCAGAAAACACGAGATTTCATGAAGCAGTGTTGTCATCAAGTGATGTAGAGCTTGTACAGAAGATTGATTAGAAATCATCTTCATGAAGAGTGATTTTGGCACAAGTGACTGAAGAACAAAACAGCATTATCTGCCAAAAATGACATGAGTGTTGTTTCTACCTCCAGTTACTGTCTCTTTCAGCATAAATTAATCTATTCCATTGGAAAGGAAAGTCTGTACCCAAAGATGCAACAATGAATTATATCCAAATCACTGCTCATGTTGTCTCTTAACAATGATCAGTTCAATTATATAGGATTTGATGAGGTCACACATACACAAAAAGCAGCAAATGATCAGTGACAATATTACTGGCTTCAGAATACTTCAGCTTGTCTTCATTTCTGGAGAGTTATACTCAGTTTTAAGTCATTTTGCTGTCAAAAATCTGACCTCATCAAATTGATGTGATTCCTAAAGCTCTCTTTAGATGTCCTACCCTATCAGCATATTAAAATGGAAGGACTGTGTACCTAAAAACATACATGTTAAGCATTGGTGTAAAGTAACTTCTGTAATAAATTATATTGCATTTTTTTTCAGATAGGACAGCTCAACCTTACAATGCCTACCTGATGCCAGGTTATGCTTATTTTCTTACTAAAGTATGTTACTGGTCAAATCTTTTTTCCAAATATTAAATGTACCTTGCCAGATATTCTCCTGCAGCTCTAAGGAAGTCAATTAAAAAATAATTTGTAGAATCTATTAGTGAGCCACCAGAGTATAATTCCTTAAAAGTTTAAGAAAACCTGGCAATTAATCCAGCATAAACATATCCTATAGACAGCAGGATATGGGTATGGAGGAGGAGAGGTTTGACTTTCTGATTTTACTGTGGACCTTTTCCTAAGGGCACTCATGAATGCAGCAATGGTTTTAACTATGGCTTAAATTTATTTTAAATTTCACTAAAATACTAATCTTGATTATCATGCCAATTTTAGATCTTATTAATTTTCAGAAGAGATAAATACAAATAATCATAAATTAGGGTAACTTTTTATTATACCAAGGTGTTCTAATGCTATCATATGAAAACAGATGCTTCAAACGACCTGCATTAAGTTATATTTTTAATACAATTAAAAATTACTTTTCAACTATTTGTAGTCACAAACTGAAAATGTGTCATACATGTTTACCTTAAATTATGATATATAAGGCTCAATAGCTAAAGGGTTACTTTATGCATATGGTATATTTCATAGTCTACAACTCAAAGATTTAAACAGTCCCTAAAAAAAATTCCATATATTCTCATACCAACTCATCTAAATAGAAATGAAGATCTCTGTAATGTTCTCACAAACCATTACCATAAGTTCACTATAATAATTGGATCAATATGGTTTGCCTTTCAAAGTTAAAGAGTCAGAAAGGGGCCTCTAAGAAGTCATTTAGCCCAATTCCCTCACCCTGTGTGTTTTCCCTCAAAGCCAGTGCAATTTTTTTTTAACCAAAAAGCTGGACATATTTAATACATACAATTGACAGGTTTGGATTTCACTCTTTGTTTCAATGTAATAACTCTTTTATAAATGAGGAAACAGATTCAGACAAGCTCTGTGGCCCAACTAAAGACATTGGGCAATTGGTGGCAGGACTACAATATACATCTCTTCATGCTATGGAAACCAGGCTATTATAAAGCTGACCAGGACTACTGTTTTCCCCTTCTCTCTCATCCTAAACACCATTCATATTTTTCTAGGTCACATTTTACTGGGCTCATTTACAAAGCCCTCAGAACTGAACCATCACTTTATTTAATCATATACAATTCTTACAAAAATACCTGAAGTAATTTAACACCTGTACATCAGTACAAAACCTGACTGAGTAAAATGAATAGAGGGTCTATTCAAGATCATTAAGACCAAATGTAAACTGGGAAGTATATGGAAGGCAGCTATTCCAGCAAGTGTTTGGAAGGTGTTCTAGCCGGGTAGAGAGCCTATTCTAACAGACACACACATCGCAGAAAACAGCATGAACAGAACCATATTCTAGATAGAGTTCCATGTACAGAAGATCCATGGAGGCAAGTTCTGTCAGGAAGGACACTGCCTCCCTCCGCCCTCCCAACTGTCACCACCAAGTTCCTTCAGGTGAGACCTCACACAATGTCAGGTGCTTTCTAGGAAATACTAAGATCAGGTTGACAGATTCTGCTTGGTCTAATCTATCTGAAAAATTAAGGCTGGAAAGACAACTTTTCTCAAGAGTTGAGTTGACTTTTGCCTTCAAATCTTGGCTGCACCTTGCCTACGATAGCATCAATTTACACCTAAGGACCTCTGAAGAGAAAAATTCCATTATTTCTTTTCTTTCTTGAGAGCAGATTTTTTCCCTCCTCCTTTGGAAGGTTTGCAGTACTTTGCTTCCATCCGAGCCAGAAAATTGTCCATTTCCTTTTGCCGATCCTTTTGTCTGCTCTGTTTGAGAAGTTAAAACACAAGCTTTCACAACACTATTCATGGAAAGTACTGAGTGGTTGCCAGGGGCTGGAGAAGTGGAGTAACTGCTAATGGGTACGGAGGTTTTTTTGGAGTGGTGAAAATGTCCTTCAATTGGTGTTAATAACTGTAAAACTCTGTAAATATATTAAAAACCACCAAATTGTACACTTGAAAAGGACAAATAGATGGCATTCTATTTGTCTACAAGAAGAAAACAAAATACAACACTCCAAAGAAAATATTAGCAACAGGTTTCAGATCATTAAGGAAGAAGTGGCAATAAACTGCCAAGTTTACCTGAATGGCTGCCTTCAGGCTATCCACGCCTTCATCAAGCCCCAACTCCTTTCTGCTCATTTCTGCTTCTTTGGCCTCTTCCTGAGCCTGCAACAGAAACTCACATGAGATTCAGGGCAACCAGCAAATGTTTAAAATACATTCTTTCCCAAAAGCAAATACATAATACTGTTTCAATATGAGGATTATATGAATAGACAAAATGAATAAAGTTACCTAATTAGGTTATTTATTAAAAGGCAACAATGCTGACAACAAGCAGTAGATCCTGTGTTTCCAATTACCATTTATTCGCTTTTTCCCAATTCTACTTGCTAGAGGTAGTAAGTAATTTGGCACTCATAAATCACATTGTTATAAAAAGGAACAGGAGGCTGGGTGTTGTGGCTCACACTTGTCATCCCTATACCTTGGGAGGCCAAGGTGGGAGAATGATTGAACCCAGGAGTTTGAGACCTGCCTGGATAACATAGTAAGACCTCATCTCTACAAAAAATAGAAGAAATAAGCCTGGTGTAGTGGCATGTGCTTGTAGTCCCAGCTACTAGGGAGGCTGAGGTAGGAAGATAGCTTAAGCCCGGGAGTTCAAGGCTGCAGTGAGCTGTGATCATGCCTCTGCACTCCATCCTGGGTGATAGAGTAAGATGTCATCTCTTAAAAACAACTACGAAAAAAGTAAGGAAAACGATGCAATTGCTAGGATACAGGTACTTCCAATTCCTCTTCTGGAAACCCAATTTACTATATGAGACTGGTAATCCCCTTGGGAATCCCAGTTTAAAATGACTTCTGAGTAGTCAGAAGAAACATCAGCAGACTCAGTTTTAACCTTTCTTTACCTGATTTCAAAGCAGCCTTTCTTTGTCAAGTTTTCCTAGGACATTATTTCCAAAATACCACTAAGAACAAAAGAACACACTAAGGTGTTCTTGGGGCAACAACTTAAGAGGCCCCAACATCCCCTGTGAATTTTCTAAGTAGCAATTAATGAAATTAATACTGGGGATGATGATACATTAGGACCTCCCATCCCTATAAGACGACACTGTTTCCTTGTATTCAAATTATCTCTTTAAATTCAGCATTCCCTTCACGTTTGTTGAACAGTCTCTCAAAACCGCCATTTTCTCCTCAAATTCTAGGGAAGTTTCTCAAGCTAACAGTCTATGTGAATGCAGCTGTGCTGTTTCATCTCAGAAAATGATGAACTTAAGGTAATTGTCAGCCTAAGTCTTAGCAGATGTAGCCTATGAACCAAAATGATCTTGATATACACTCCATGGCTCCCCTCACCAGAGAGGGTGCAGCCATCTAGGCAAAACAGGCCCACAAAAAGGTCTGCTTTCTCTCTGTGCATTTCATATGTAAAAGCTGCAGAAAAGTTCCAGGGGGCACTTATGAAGGCAGCAATGGTTCTAAAAGTTGTGTGCTCCTTGTAGGAATCTAATGCCTGATGATCTGAGGTTTCATCCTGAACCACGCCCCCAACTCGCCTTACCCCTGGCACAGCTGGGGACCACAAAGCTAACGTTTTTCTTAAAAAAAAAAAAAAAAAAAAAAAAAAAAAAAAAAAGGCTGGACACAGTGGTTCACACCTGTAATTCCAGCACTTTGGGAGGCTGAGGCAGGTGGATCACAAGGTCAAGATCGAGACCATCCTGGCCAACATGATGAAACCCTGTCTCTACTAAAAACACAAAAATTAGCCGATGTGGTGGTGTGCCCCAGTAGTCCCAGCTACTCCAGAGGCTGAGGCAGGAGAATTGCTTGAACTGAGGAGGCAGAAGTTGCAGTGAGCCGAGATCACGCCATTGCACTCCAGCCTGGGTGACAGAGCAAGACTCCATCTCAATAAAAAAAATAAAATTCTGTATCCAACTCAAGAATCAAACTCTGGCAAAGGCCCCCAAATCTGCACTTTTAACAAGACAGTCTCTGCCATTCTCTTCTTACCCCTCAACCGAATAAGGATCACTGCCTGTCCTGTGTATCCAGGCTCCATTAACTTTATCTCCTGAGGGATGCCTCAGTAAGGCTACGAGAATTGGCCCATATGAAAAAAGACTTCAGTGCTACTTTACTATGGTAATAAACAATAAAAATCATCGTGAGCACAATATACTAGAAAAATAGTTTCTCTTGATGAACTGGTATGCCCATTTTATTTATTTATTTATTTATTGAGACAGAGTCTTACTCTGTCACCCGGCTGGAGTGCAGTGGCACGATCTTGGCTCACTGCAACCTCCATCTCCCGGGTTCAAGCGATTCTCCTTCCTCAGCCTCCCAAGCAGCTGGGATTACAGGCACGTGCCACTACACCCAGTTAATCTTTGTATTTTTAGTAGAAATGGTGTTTTCACCATGTTGGCCAGGATGGTCTCAATCTCTTGACCTCATGATCCACCCACCTCAGTCTCCCAAAGTGCTGAGATTACAGGCGTGCCCCCGGTATGTCCTTTTATTAGATGAATGCTATTAGACCAAGTTAACCCTAGTCATTATTTATGGAGCTTTATGTTTACTTCTACTGCTATAAATACTCTCAAATCCTTTTTGGAAGCAGTCAAGATATAAATCAACAGTATTCAAAATCTTACCCTCCTCTTCCTTGCATTCATCTTTTGTTTCGATTCTTTGACAAAGGCATTATAGGATGGGACTTCTCCCGCGTCAATAGCTTGCTGAATGATATTCCTTATCCTGGGTTCCTCTGTGTACTGCACGCAAAGCACAGACTCCATTATCTGATCCATGTCACCCCTGAAGTCCAGATAGGCCTGTTTAATATCAGCCAGCTCTTCTTCTGAACCTTTGTAGGTCTTTTCAAAAGCTTGAATGTCCTCTAAAGATATCTGATAATAAAGGAAATTTGCTTTAACTTTGGGAGTTTTACTTTAAATAAAAGGTACACTAATAAAACTAGAGTTAGCTGTTGAATTGCTGTAATACAACAGTTGCTTGAGTTGAAATTGTTGAACCAGATTTTCTATGCCTAAGCTTTTCCGGAGGTCTCCTTTGTAAGTCCAGTCTTCACAACTGCTAACTAGGGACCAGGGAAAAGAAATGTAAGTGAAGTTTCCAAGGGTGAAAGTAGACCCGGAATCAGGACTTACAATTGGATATGTAAAATAAAGTGTATCCTACAAAAAAATAAATCGGCCCTTTTCAGTGAAACAATCACATTAACAGGAAATAAAAAGCCTGTTTCAGTAAGTGTGTATTTATATTTCAAGGCCAAACTCAAAATTCCTCATTCCTACAAAATTAACACAAGACCTTAGAGGCAATCAATAAAGGTTTGTTGATCGAATGATGGTAACAGTCACAAAGAAACCTCCAGAATCTCTTACCTTTTTGAAGAGTAGCCGCCAATACGACTCCCAGTCTCGGTCTTGGGTGAGCCCAGGAGAGTCCTCGTCCACTGTTCCCTGCTCATCGTACACTGCTCTCTGTTCCTTGTCACTGAGAACGGAATAGACTTTTCCCAGGATCTGAGGGCAGAGAGTATCCATAAGTCATCCCTGCTCCTCCCACCGAAACCGCGGCGGGAGAAAGGAACAGAAGGCGCAAACACCAGCTCAGTGCGCTCCCCGGGCGGGGCCCGGTACCCAAAAGGCTGAGGAGGCCCGGGTGGCCCGTCGGCCTCGGGGCGGGATCCTGCATACCTGGAAGCGGCGAGTGGCGTCCTCCTTGTCGCCCTCGTCCACCCGGTCGGGGTGCACCTGCAGGGACACCTTGTGGTAGCCTCGTCGGACCTCGCCGTCGGAGGCCTCACGTCGCACGCCCAGCACCCGGTAAAGGTCGGCGGTGCCGAACACTTCCTCGCAAAGCTCCAGCAGCCCCATGCCGCGGGTGGGAGATACGGCCCGGGAGAAAGCAGCCGCTCCCGGCAGCGCCGGCTACCACTCAGGGTTGCTTCTTTTTCCCGCTCAAAAAGCCTAGGGCGCCTGCGTCACAACAAGCGCTGAAAGGGCGTGGCCACGCCGCGCAGCCACTCTTTACGGCGGCCGCAAAATGGGGCGTGGCGAGGCCGGCGCCGGCCAAGGTAAGACCCGGCGGGTGGAGTCCAAATAGCGGGCCGTGCGCAGGAGCCAGGTCTTACAGGGAAGAGATGTTGCTCGGTCCCTCCTCCCCTTACTCTGGAAATCTGGCGTCCATTTTCCTTTTAGTTTCCCAGAAAAGCTTTTTCAAAAAGTTCATATATTAAGTTGAATTTACAAACTGCTGGCCTATTTCTTAAGTAGAAAACGGCAAAACATCAGCATTTAGCAGTTTCACATGGTTCAGCTTAACAGATGTGTTTTTTCAAAAGTGATCGTGAAAGGAATAGGTAGAGCTACAGGCCCAAATAATTTTGCACCTCACTGGTTGGAAATGCTGGGGAACTTTCCCTGCAGCCCTGCAGGAAAACCTTATACTGAAACCCAAAAGCACAAAACATGGGTCTTCCAAAAAGATAAAAAACTCTTTTATCTAACAGGACTTTCACCTTACACATTAGTGGAGATAAGATGACCCAAGCCCCCGTCTTAACATAAACTGCTGAAGCAAAGGCTCTTTCTTTTAATACTGTTTAGTTCACAGCTGGGTTTGAGCATGTTGGATCCCAGGTGGCAGCAGGGTAGGTGGGAGCAATCATCCAAGACATGGGGAGAAACTTGGGCCTGAAGACCCAAAGCAAGGCTGAGGCTGGGGAGAAAACTCTGGAAGTAGGATAAGCTCACAAAGGAAGTATGTGTATACATATCTTAGACAAAGGATAAGCAATGCAAAGTGAATACCTCAGAGAATACCCAAGTTGGCAGAAAATATCAAATATCCCCTCACTGACTTAACACTTTTCAGAATCATCCTGCTCTGCCAGTAAATTTGTGCAAAGCCTCAAACTCTCCAGGATATATTAATATCTTTTTAACCTTCCAGAGTTGCCATGATTTTCAAAGCGTATCTCTTTCCCAGATCCAAGATCAAACCCAGCTAAAGTCAGTTTTCCTCTCAACCTGCCCTGGCATCAGTCTCAAAGTGGGGGCCAACCAGCAACAACCCCAGGGAAGCTGTAACAACCACAGAATTTGGGATGGCTGGTAATCATTCTCAGAATATAAAACACAGAGAACAAAATAAGCTGGCACATTGAGAGAAACTCCTCTATAAATTTCCTATATCTTACATACCAGAGTTAAGCCACCTATCTTTGCTCATTTTTTCCCTGTATGGACAACATATGTTGGGAAGGGCTTTCTGGGAGGGCATAACCAGGGTATGAATCTTATATCACTGAACAAGTTTCCAGCTCTAGGCTTTAGCTTCCGTGACTGTAAAATGGAGATAATCCTACCTGCCTTCATAATACCTTATAATCATCACAAATAACTGTGTACACAAAAGACCTAGGGTATATGTAGATGCTTTACAATATTATCTTCCAGTTTCTCATGTTTTTTAAGGTACTCACATACATTAACGTTTTTCTATATATACATTTGCTACTGAAAATTGAAATAGCACATTGAAATATTCTTTTATTGAAACTCACATTTTTGAAAATCAGAAAATCAAATTAATTATTATGCTCTAGCCAAACTACCTAATGTTTTTTCTTTTCTTTTTGAGACAGGCTCTTACTGTCACCCAGGCAATACTATAGTAGAACAATCCAGTTCACTGTAGCACTGCCCTCCTGGGCTCAAGTGACTCAGCCTCCTGAGTAGCTGGAACTATGAGTGATCACCACCATGCCCAGCTAATTTTTAAATTTTTTGTAGAGACGGTGTCTTGGTGTGTTGCCCAGGCTGGTCTTGAACTCTGGCTTCCAGTGATCCTTCCACCTTAGCCTCCCAAAGTGCTGAGATTACAGGTGTGAGCCACTGCCCCAATGAGTTCCTTACATTATTTATTTACAAGTTACTTCGTATTATTGATGTTGAGTTTCATCTCATTGACTTCAGGCTTTTAAAACACATGTGAATACTTGAGACCTATGAATCGTTGTGAGTCCAATAAAAAAGTAGAGCTAAAGGATACTGAAATTATTCAAATACATTCAAACTATAAAGATCCCTTATACATTACTAGCATCAAGGTAGGAAGGAAAAGATACAAGTAAAATGCATCACTCATCACAGGTTCTCAAAATTACTGGTACACAGTTTATCCTAACACAGAGCAGCTTTCTTAACCTGCTCCATAAAATTACCAGCAAGAAAGAAAAGTACAAGAATAAGGTTCACAGCTGAATTGGCTTGGTGTCATAATTCCCTATTCCAGTATTCTCAGAAGGATCCCATCCATAATATATGCAGAAACCACAGCCACATTTAAATGGTTCAGTCTTGATTCATTCTGAACTCCCTTAAACCCAGCTGTTTCTCATTCTTAAAAGGTAGGTTATTATAGCCCAAAAGCAAAACAAATCTACCTTTGTATATTTATGCATGCAGTGGCTCACGCCTGTAATCTCAGCACTTTGGGAGGCCAAGGCAGGCAGATCACAAGGTCAGGAAATCAAGATCATCCTGGCCAACATGATGAAAACCTGTCTCTACTAAAAATACAAAAATTAGCTGGGTGTGGTAGTGGGTGCCTCCCAGCTACTTGGGAGGCTGAGGCAGAAGAATTGCTTGAACCCGGGAGGTGGAGATTGCAGTGAACCAAGATCACGCCACTGCACTCCAGCCTGGCAAGAGACCAACTCAGTCTCAGAAAAAAAAAAAAAAAAGGAATATGCATTAAGCAAGACAATATAATTCTCCAATTACAAAATCAATAAGAAAGGTAACTGTTCTTGCACTTGAGGGAAGAACATGAAGATTTGAATGGGCCATGAATAATCTGGCTGGAGGTTTTGAAGCAAGAAGTCTTGGAAGCCAGCAGATTGTAAAGTTGTCCAGGAGACCCAGAGCCCAATTCAAAAATCCAATCCTCCCACAGCCACTGTCTTTCCCAAGACAAAGTCCAAAAAAGCTAGTTAGTACCCACACCCAGCTCTACATCACACAAGAACAAATCTCTCCCTGGGCCCTGTGCAGGCCAGGCCAGAAGAGCAAGGGCAACTCAGGATACTCCATTTATTGAACTCCAAATCTAACAAAAGTAAGATCTCTGCAGTGTTTCAAGAGGACCATGACCTTGTTCCCACTGCTATGCTCCTTGAAGTCAGCTCACTTATGTTTCTGTAGCTTCTGTGTCTGTAGCTTCTGCATCTGTTTTCTGAGACGCTAACAGGACTTCACGTGCCCGTTTCCTTCGCAGTCTCTCAGCACTTGTGATCGTCATAGGATGCAGAGGGAAAAAGCCAGCAAGACCTAAAAGCAACAGACTTTTCACTTATCATAATACAGTATAAGCCAATGCTTCCCTAGGAACTCTGTCTCACAGAACGGAGGTCTGAGATCTGACCCACTGTATGGATGTAAACCATGCTCCTCACTTGCCGAACTCTGTACTACCTCTCCCTGGCAAGGAGACAGTGGATGTCTACTTCCTAAAAGTATTCCCCTTACTTTAAAAAAGGCAAACTGACAGATGGCCATTCAAAACACACTATTCCCATTTTTAGCATAAAATACCAGTCATCCAAAAAGTCTTACAAAGGAGTCCACAAACGGGATCTCCAGATTCAAAATGCCAATTAGATCAAAACTTCAGCTCCCACTTCAGTCCTGGACAACCTAGAGAAAAGGAAAATCTTTTTTTTTTTTTTCCTTTTTTGAGATGGAGTCTCGCTCTGTCGCCCATAATGGAGTGCAGTGGCATGATCTTGGCTCACTGCAATCTCCGCCTCCTCGGTTCAAGCGATCCTTCTGTCTCAGCCTCCCCAGTAGCTGGAACTACAGGCAGGCACCACCACGCCCAGCTAATTAATTTTTTTGTATTTTTAGTAGTGACGAGGTTTCACCATGTTGGCCAGGCTGGTCTCAAACTCTTGACCTCAGGTGATCTGACCGCCTCGGCCTCCCAAATTTTTGGGATTACAGGCATGAGCCACCACGCCCGGCCGAAAAATCATTCTTATACCCACTGTCCTGGAGCTGACTTCAGTTTAAAATCCCCTCAATAAGGTAAGACCAGAGCTTCGTTACCCAGAAGCTTTTCCATAGGCTTAGAGAGGTGGGCCCCACAGCCAATCCAATGACGGATCCTGTCTAGGTTGAGGGCAACGAGTTTTTCTCCATGGCTGTTGGGCAATGGATCATAGGAGCCCAGCTGTTCTATGAAACGGCCATCTCTGGGACACTTGTTGTGAGCAGCCACAATTCGGTAAAAGGGCCGGTTGGTGCAGCCACCCAGGGCAAGGCGGATGGTTAAATGGCCTCCATGGTAGGCCTTGCAGAGGAGAGTATCTGTAGAAAAACACCTGGTTAGGACACAAGAACAGCACAAAACGGGCAAAATGACACAGACATAACAATTCCCTTTTTCCACTGAAATGTCCTCACTTCCAATCCATTCCTGTCAATTCAGCTTAGATACCGTTGTTCTTTGTGAAACACCTCTTGGCCACTCCAGCCAGCAATGATCTCTTCATACCCAAACCCGCTCAGCATGGGTTTGCCATTCACTAGCTCTGTGACCTTGTCGGAACCTTAGCTGCTTCAGTGGGGTGGGGATTTTTCAGCGGTGATTAAGCGGGGAAAAAAAACTGAGAGAAGGATCAAATGTAAGGTAGTGTGGCTGCTTCAGGTTTGGGTTCCCTCCATCGCGCCAGGTAGACCACTGCCTCACCCGGCCCCGAAACTCCCGAGCCCCGTGACCGCCCGGAACGTCTCGCGGGGGCCCAATAACTCACTGAGGTGGACCATGGTGCGGCTCCTTGGAGCGCCCCGCTACCCGCGCGCACCAACAATACGGCCTTGGCGGGGCAGAGGACCGACACAAACACGAGACATGTAGACACAGATCCGAACCGCCCGGCTATCCAAGCCTGAAAGCCTGACTCTGGAAGCGGATGATCCGCTCGCCCCGCCTCTTCCGCTTGCTGCCCTGCACTTCCCACGATGCAACACGGTGACCCCTAACGTACCTTAAACTGCTGCAAAAGAGGCGTTTCTGGTGGTGTCTGGTGGGAGTGGCGGTGCGATCCCTCTCAGGCTTGTGAGTCAGTGCCGGAGTCAGAATTGTGGGGCCAAACACAGCCGTGCCAAGAGGAGTGCTGTAACATCGATCCATCTTGCTCGCGTTGGTGCCGAGGCGCAACGCTGAGAACGCAAATATGAAAGGGCGCTATCTCTTCCTCGTGGATCTCACAGTCCGCTGGGGAGACCGTGAGATTACAGCAGAGAAACTAGTGCAAGGAGAGCAGAGAAGGCAAACCTAATGCTTGCCGACGACTTCACAGAGGAGGTAGCGTCAGGGCCGAGACTAGAAGGATTATAAGTGACTAGAGTTTATCCTTCTCGTTAACCAAAACATTTACATCTCACCTTTCCTCCTATGATCCTCCCACCCCTATCGAGGCAGTCACACCTTAAAAAAATAAAGGGGGGCTTATTCCTACATTTTCCATGCTGTGATCCTGGGCAGAGGTGAAGTACGATTTCCTTTTTTAAACATCTGTAGCCCCAGTAATGGCCTCAGTGTTGAGGGTAATGGTGTCTCCTTAGAGCCGTAGTGGTTTATATCCATGAAAATGCCTGTGTTTGGTGAGAAGGTGTCCATTAGCTCCACCTTCAGCCAAGACCTCTCTGTTCAGCTTTTTTGTTCACTGTTAGTTCCAAAGGGCTAATATGCTCTTTGCCCTAATCTTCCTCCAGGGCCACCTTTGAAAATGATGCCTTCATTCCTGTCTGGCCAGAGATCTTAGCAGCTGCCTTTCTCCAGGAGTGATCCAATAAGCTTTCATCAGAAACCCTAATAATGACCCCAGTATACACATTTTATTATATGTTATACATGTGCCATATAATTATTAGAGCAATTACACTATATATAGCTATTTATATAATACCTATAAATAACTCAGTATACGTTAACTCCAGAACCACACTGATGAATTTTGAGTTTCATATTTTCATTCTTTATTGTGACCCAGTTTCTTATCAACCAGTAAAACATCCAGTAACACAGCCAATGGAAAGAAATGAATGGGTCTCTATTTATGGTGAAGATTCTTTTGTAGGTTATTTTTACAAACCCAGCAGCCCATTTCCAGGCTTCATATGGTGTGAAACTCTCTGGGAAGGAAAGGAACTCAGAGTCTCATATAGAAAATTGTTCAGCTGGAGAGGTATCAGAAAGATGGATTTCCAAAGCCAACGGTTTCCTGTACCGTGTGGATCTCTGCAAGCAAAGCCTCATCTTTCAATTTCAGCTACAGGAAAGAAGAAAAAAGGGAAAAACACTTGTCATAAATGATATACTTTATGTGGCTTTGAAGACCTGTCTTTTGTGGGACTACAGCTAAAGAACATAGTTCCCTGGGATGGAGTTAGCTCTTTATTCCCTACTTCATGAAAACTCCAACTAGAAGACCTTAGAACCTTGTCTTGGATACATGGATATGTTTACTTTGTGAAAATTCATCAAGCACTATGAACAGTCATGATCTGTACATTTTTTTGTAAGATAACTTGATTAAAGTTTACTTTTTTTGTTTTTAAAAAGTGTTCACATTATTACCAGCATCTCTTGACTAATGTGTAGTATTCCCATTTGGCAAATGACAGCAGGGAATCAGGAAATAGGCTTGTATTAGATCTGGTTTTAGTTTTAGAATCTAGATATGTAGTAGAGACATCTAGGCGCCTACTGAATACCCATTCTTTCTTACTAACAAAATCTTTTTTTTTTTTTTTTTTGAGACGGAGTTTCACTCATGTTACCCAGGCTGGAGTGCAATGGGGCGATCTCGGCTCACCGCAACCTCCGCCTCCTGGGTTCAGGCAATTCTCCTGCCTCAGCCTCCTGAGTAGCTGGGATTACAGGCACGCACCACCATGCCCAGCTAATTTTTTGTATTTTTGGTAGAGACGGGGTTTCATCATATTGACCAGGATGGTCTCGATCTCTTGACCTCGTGATCCACCCACCTCGGCCTCCCAAAGTGCTGGGATTACAGGCTTGAGCCACCGCGCCCGGCCACTAACAAAACCTTAATTTATTTTCAAGGTAGCAATGCTATCAGCTAAAAAGCCACATTTTCCTGCTTCCAGTGCAGCTAGAGGTAGTCATATGATCAACTGTGGCCTAATGAAATGTAAACTAAAATCATTGGGTAGAACACCTGGAGACGCCCTTTATTTAGGTAAAGTCCTTTAAAGGGAAGGGAAGTAGCATGGCCCCTTTTCCTTAATGTTCTTTATCTTGCCTGAAAACATGGACATGACAGCAAGCTACACTGGCTGTCTTGCAACTGTGAGGGATAGAAACTGCATGCTACAATTGGTGG